TTTCTGTTTCTCTGGAGAACATTAGTATGCACTCTATTTTACAGATACAAAATGGATATTATAGATGTTAAGTCATTTTCCAAGGGCCAATTTTTAAACCCACACATTCTGGATAGAGTCTATGCTCCTAAAATCCATACATTGTCTTTCTATCCCTACATGTTTAAAATGTGAAGAAGAAAGTGGTCAGAGAAACAGAATCTAGATTATACCCTCCAAACAGGAGATTGTGAAGTAACAGAGGAACTGAAATCGATTCCTCTATCTCTCACACAGCTTCTGGTTGTAAAAAAAAATAAATTTACTTCTTTGGGCCTTGATTCTTCATTTGTGAAATAAAACAAAGGTTTAACTAATAATTAAACAACCCTACCAGTCTAAGGTAGTGATTACTGGATTAGTGTCTTAGATGATGAGAGTGACGATGAAGGTGATATAAATTCATTTGAACTGGTATATTTCATCATGGAATTATCTTTCCAAGTTCAGCCTCCCATTACAATCTTTATGAATTTTGAGTGTGCACACCTCCATGAACTGTAAATGAAGGTTCCATTGGAAATTGTCTAATCACACTGTTCCATTTGTAACCCAGGAGAGTTCCCACTGGGTGTAGCAAGGTGCATGACAACGGAAAATCTAATTCTAGAACTCGGATGTGTTCACTGTAAATAGAATTACAAACTCTTGTTTTATCCTATATGACCTGGAGCAAATGAGAAAATATAGTGCTGTGAAGGGAAGGGAAGTACATAAAATCCAGTGGTCAGAGATAAGAGCTATTCAGATACGGTACTGAGCCCAGATTTTTGTATGTTTTTTTTTGTTGTTGTTCGATATTCTACCACACAAAAATAATTCCAGTAATTAAGGAAATCAAAGTGTTGTTAATATGCTAATCTCTCCCACAGATAAATCATCTTTCTGGCTTCTACTTCCATAGACAAGTTATTAGTGCTCCCAGACCTTTCTCCTAAAAGCAACGAAAAGCAAAGCTTTACATCTTTAACATACAAATAAAATCTACGCTTGGAAAAAAAATCAATCAAAATTCGGGCCCTAGGAGCAGGAAGTAAATCATCCATCGTCTTGTCGTTGCGATGGGTATAGTTCCTATAAACTGCTTGATTAACCTTTTGACGCCAACATGTCTGAAGCCCCATCATTATGATTCATTTATTTTTCATCAGTGTTCCCGTGAGTAAGCCCACATCTCGGGCAATGAGAAGGATAAAGATCCAGGGGAATATTATAAAATGTCTTTAGAGTAGGGAAGCACTCACTGAGATATCAAAGTGTTAACAAAACAGCCCCAAATCTGCCTAATCAAACTAAGATTACAAACAACTTTCTGATATTAATTTGTTTTTCCACATGAGCAGTACAAAGAGCAAAGCATGTGCTTAAAGACACCATAAATATTCCCCAATGCTTGTTATTTACATTTCTCCATATAAAATGTATAATTTTCACTTCTTTATATAACCATATACAAATAGAAACTAACATAATCAAAGGCAAGTATTCATAAAAATAACTAAAATACTACTACATTTAAAACATGAAGATCCATGTCTTTGAAACTAGATAATGCTTTCAAAGTCAATTAAGGCTTGTCACAATTTTCACCAGTACAGGAGGTCAAGTTCCTTTGTGCCATTCTATAAAGCTCAATATTTAAACTGAACTGATCTTGAAACGTAATGGATTGCCTCTTCAGGCTGCATGTCATTACAGGACATTCGATAAGAGTATAGTTCTCTTGTTGAAGATAATAAATAATGACTGGGGAGCTGTGTTGCATTGCCCTGCAAAATCACAGCAATCGAGGGAATAATTTGAAATACGCCTGTTCCCTTTCTCACACAGCCATTCTCTACTCTGTTTTCTAAAGTAAATGCTAGAGATGGTGGCACTGAAGGAAAATGAGACAGAACTAGACCTGATATCCTTGGCTGATATTTCTACTATGTGTCTAGCATAAAAATATGCACATGAGCCCTAGGTGGTTTGGCTCAGTGGATAGAGCATTGGACTGTGGACTGGAAGGTCCCGGGTTCGATTCCAGTCAAGGGCACATGCCTGAGTTGTGGGCTCGATCCCCAGTGGGGGGTATGCAGGAGGCAGATGATCAATGGTACTCTCTCATCATTGATGTTTCTATCTCTCTCTCCCTCTCCCTTCCTCTCTGAAATCAATAAAAAATATATTTAAAAATATGCACATGAGATAAAATTATGAGTAAAACACAGACTGACTAGTAGCCTTCATTCACCAAGTGAAACCTATATTAAACAACTAACTTATCTACACCATAAGTAGAAAAACTGCTATAGACATACCGTTACATATATGAGGGAGAAGTTAATTTTGTTGGTGGGGTGTCAAGGAAGACCTTACAAAAGACTGGATGCCTGAGGGTGCTTAAAGGGTATGTAGAATTTAGGTGGCAGAAAAATTGTGCTCTAAGATATTCTAAATAGAGGGAATGTCATGAAAGCAAGAAAGTTCATGGCATATTGTGGGATGGCAAATAGGTCAGTGTTTGAGAATGCAGGGTGAATGGTGGAGTGGAGAATGCTGAAACACAATGTGAGGTTTGGAGGGCCACACAAGTTTAGCATGTGTTCTTTAGGCAATAAGGGATTAACCCAACTTTCATGTTCTAGTGTTTCTCATGTTTCTACAAGGCTAGAAAATATTCCCCCCACACACACACCTAATTTTCAATTGTAGTTTATTCTTTAAGAAATAATTTATTGAGAAAATACTCTGGTATAATGCAAAGATAGGAAAAAAAACAAAAACCAAAACAAAACCCATGCAATATTCAATTATTGATCTCAAGGAGCTTCATGTCCACTGGGGAAAACAGACGTATAGGAACAAAAAGTTAGGCACAAGACAAGGTAGTTGACAAATTTTAAATTAGAGACAAAGGCAAATAAAACCAATTTGATTCCTGTGATTTCAAACTCTCAACTTGTCCAACATCAGTAGGTATGTGGTAAGACCCAAGAGATGGGGGAAAATATCAAATACTTGGGAGAGCTAACCAAAACAGATTCTCAATTTGATTTCACCTGTCAAGAAACTTCTGGAACTGATGAATACTCATTATCAATTATTTTGATCTGCTCACATCAAGTGCGGACTAAAGCTATGTATGAGCATTTTCCATTTAAAACAATGATCTCAATGCCACAGGTAAATCAAACGGTGTTACCTTCTCCCTTCCGATTAGTCACTTACAACTGCCCAGTATCCATGGCTATTCAGCCCTTTAGTTCCTGCTCTCTAAGAATCTTCATTGTTATCTCCTTCCTACACCCTCTCCCTTAGGCTTTAAATTGCCTTATTTTAACTCAAGTCTACAGTATTTTCATAAGTGGATTCTCAAGATTTGTTCTCATTTGTTTTCCGGTCCTTCTCTCCCTCATTTCATCTTTCCCTGGGCTCTCCTTCTTTATCCATAACAGTGATTTTCAACCCCTTTCCTCTCATGGCACATAAACTCATTACTAAAACACTGTGCTACATCACAAAATATATTTTTGCCAATCTGACAAAAAATAGGTGTAATTTTTATTCCTTCATACCAGAAGGCTATTGTGCTGGCTGCTGTCATTTTTTAATTTGAAAGTGTAAGGGAAAAGAGCCCCTTACTAAATCATCAGGTATTTCATGTTTTAAAAATTCTTGCAGCACATCAGTGAGCCATGGACACAGGTAGAAAAACACTTTTCAGTTTTGTGACCTTTTAAAAGGGATAGAAACCCTGGCCAGTGTGGCCCAATTGGTTGAGCATTGTCCAGTGCACCAAAGTGTCACCAGTTCGATTCCCAGTCAGGGCACATGTCCAGGTTGCAGGTTTGATCCCCGGTCAGGGTGCATGCAGGAGGCAACCATTCAATCTTTCTCTCTCTCCCTCTGCTTTCCTCTCTAAGAAAACCAATAAAAACATATTTTAAAAAGTAAAAAGGGACAGTAGCCATGTAGAGTTATTAGATTTTCATAAGATCCTCAGAGAAAAAGGCTGAGGGGGAAAAAATCAATGCACTAGTCTAATTCCAGAAGACAGGAGAGTCTTAGAGAAGTAGAAACTTCATAATAGCATCAAAGAACACAAAGTCGGGGGTAAAATCAGTGAATATTCTGAAGTCATCAGTGGTTCATAAGTCAGAGCTTCATAATCAGCTAACCTGGCTATGATGAGATGGCCTAAGATTTGGGTCCAGGAAAGACCAAATTATACATTATCTCTAAAATATACTTGGAACTAATGCTAAAAATAAAATTTTATCATCTGCACATATTATTTTATACTTTAACTCATGCTACATTTCTATTCTGAGATAAGTTACAATGATGATTTTGTATATTAACATTTTAATTATCAATTTAGTAAAATTTAGACAGAAATTTGCCCTTTGAGAAATTGAAGAAAAGTTGTCTTTCAAAAAAATTCAAGAAATTTTATATTAAAATTACTTCTATGGAATTATTCCTTTCAAATGTGTAATCAGATAAGGAATAGCAATCATAATGGAGTCAAGAGAAGTCATTTAGTGTTCAGTTCATGAAGTTTCAGAATAAAAGTTCACATACATATGGGAGAGATGCAAGATGGCCTCCTCCCAGGACCAAACTGCAATTAACAACAAAAATATAGAAAAATCAGCCGAAACCGGTTTGGCTCAGTGGATAGAGTGTCGGCCTGTGGACTGAAAGGTCCCAGGTTCGATTCTGGTCAAGGGCATGTACCTGGGTTGCGGGCACATCCCCAGTGGGAGATGTGCAGGAGGCGGCTGATCGATGTTTCTCTCTCATCGATGTTTCTAACTCTATCTCTCTCCTTTCCTCTCTGTAAAAAAATCAATAAAATATTTTTAAAAAAAAATTACAATTTGCTATTTAACCAATGCAAAGGTCTTTGAACGAAACCTGACTTTTCTATCACTTCTACTGCTGAAATGTATTTTACCTGCATTCTTTGCAGATAGAAGTTCTTAAAATTAAGATCCTGAAAAGTTCTTTGCTACACGAATCACAGTAAAAAAAATAACCAGAACATTAAGCGGCCAATTACCAAGGTTTCCTACACGTCCTGTACGGCCAATGCGATGGACATACTCTTCAATATCACTTGGCAAGTCAAAATTGATGACATGTTTCACATTTGAAATGTCCAGGCCTCTTGCTGCTACCTGGAAAAGATCTCTTTTGTTATACATGGCCCACTTAAAAGACAACCAATAGCTGAACATGAAAACAATAGTATATGATACACACTGCTGTAGCCACTAGAATCGGGCTTTTTCCTGAGCGGAACTGGTGCAGAGCCTCCTCTCTATCTCTCTGAGATCGGTCTCCATGGATACTGGTGCATGCATATCCTTCATGGTATAAGAAATCCTCCAGAGAATCTGCACCCTTTTTGGTCTCCACAAACACTAAGGTGAGTGAATCCTTGCCTAAATTTGAAAAATTACAAGTTTTTTGTCACTAATAGTGGCTGTGTTCTTTTTGCACTTAGTAAACACACATAAAGGCAAGATTTAAGACCATTTTAACAGAATGCTTGGAATGAGGAAAAGCAGTACCGGTGATGCAAATGGATTCTCATTACCGAAGGCACCAGAGAAAAGCTACAATTCTCATCTTACCTGTTGCATTTAGAAGGTCAAGCAGAAATGACCGCTTGTCTGCGTCTTCCACCCACACTACTTTCTGTGTGATGTTCTCAGAGGTAGAGCCAACTCTTCCTACAGCCAAGAAGATATATTCATCCAAGAAATCACGAGCAAGCATCTGAAAGAAAAAAACTTTCATTACCTACTGAGACAAACAAATTCCTGATTCAATAAAGTTTGTAGCATCAAACAATACCTGTATTTCCTTGGGGAAAGTAGCACTAAACATCATAGTGTGGCGCACGCCCTTTGGTGGCATCGTATCTTGTTCAACTATTCTACGAATCTGAGGTTCAAACCCCATATCCAACATCCGATCAGCTTCATCCAACACCAAGTATCTGTGATGGAAAAAATTCAGTTTAGAATTCCAGAAGTTTTAGTATAGTTGTATCAATAATTACAATTATATTATTTATTCAAGGACCTAAAATTCCTCACATCACACAACTTGGTACTATACACGACGGCACAGGATTTTGCCAGTGAATAAATCATCCAAGATCAGTTAAATTACTTCCTATTGCCCTGACCGGTTTGGCTCAGTGGATAGAGCGTCGGCCTGCGGACTGAAAGGTCCCAGGTTCGATTCCGGTCAAGGGCATGTAACTTGGTGGCAGGTACATCCCCAGTAGGGAGTGTGCAGGAGGCAGCTGGTCGATGTTTCTCTCTCATCGATGTTTCTAACTCTCTATCCCTCTCCCTGCCTCTCTGTAAAAAAATCAATAAAATTATTTTTTTTTAAAAATTAGTTCTTACTATTTGATTACTTGTCCCAGTGTGGTCATTCTCAGCCTCTACTAAAATGTCGCTGACATTTCAACATTAAAATTACAATAAACTAATTTTAGCCAAAGTTAGAAGACAAAATAAACCACTTCTCCAATTTTTAAAATTTAGGTAACAGTATTAAGTTCCAAAAAACTAATGGCCAGAAATTTTAAAAATTAACATTGCATTCCATGGATTTAAAAGGTAACTTACTTGCAGAAGTCTAATCCAATCTTGCCTCTTTCCATCATATCCACTAGACGTCCTGGAGTAGCTACTAACAAGTGGCATCCACGTTCTAAGTCTCGAATCTGCTGACCAATATCGGCACCACCGTAAACAACACAAGGACGAACTCTAGATCTGTATGAAAACTATAAAAGCAAAGAAATTTTATCAACCTCAAGGCCAAGATTTTTACAAGGTCATAAAACATTTTGGAGTCAACGAGAAAGCCAATAATTGCTAAAATGCATACTTACTTTCCTGGCTTCCTCATAGATCTGTACTGCCAATTCTCTAGTTGGTGCTAATACCAAGGAGATTGGGTATTGTTTGCGGCGCCCGTACCTTCCATTTTCCTAAGAAATTAATTTATAAATTAATACTCAACATACTTTTTATAAGACTCATTCCAAAATCCCCTTCTGTAATTTATGGACTACAATTGAAAACTGTCTTACATTAAGTAGAATGGAGTGAGTTTTAGTGTCACTTACAGCTACCTAAATACCATAATTTCCCATTTTGTAAGGTAATAGTTACCTTCATGGCCCTCAAGGCCTCGCCTGGGCCATCAGTATAAATCTGACTCAAGATGGGCAGAAGAAATGCTGCCGTTTTCCCAGACCCTGTTGAAGAGAACACATGTTCATTCAACCACAGAAAAAGCTGATTACTTTTGAATAAACATTGGTAGATGGCTTTTATGTAAGAGCTAAGTTAAAGATACCAAGTGACTTCTTTGATCCACTTGTAACAAGAGTCCACACACTAAGGCCTAGACAAGCTTTGCAGATACAGCCACCACACTCAATAATTTACATATGGTTGCGCTCACATTACAACAGCAGAGCTGAGTGGATGCAATAGAGACCATGTATCCCATAAAGAAAGTTTATTTTCTAACTCTATCTCTCTCCTTTCCTCTCTGTAAAAAAATCAATAAAATATATTTAAAATATATATATATAGAAAAATCAACCTGAATAATCAACTGATGACAAGCTGAACAGAGTCTTAAAACCAAGGCTTTTCAAAGAAGCCACATTGAGACTAGTAGGAAGGGTGGAAATATAAAAAGGTGATGGGTAAGATTCTGGAGGGTTATCTCAGCTGCAAGGGTTTCCCCCTGAGGAGAGTGGGATCTCAACCCCCACACTAGGCTCCCCACACTAGAGCACCAGAGCTGGGAAGAGGCAGCCACAGAATATCTTCCTGTGAAAATCAGTGGGAATTCTGTCTGCAGTGAGAGACAGGAGTATGCTAGAGACACAGGAGCCCTCTTAAAGGGTCAATGCACAAAATCTCATTCACCCTGGGCTTCAGTGGAGGGAGGGCAGAGTGGTCAAGAGTCATGTGAGGAGACACTGGGGTTTGTGGCTGTGGGGAGAGAGCTGAAGGGACAGCTGCCGGGATCCCTGTGCTGATCCCTCTCTCACACTGCAGATGTCATCTTTCTTGGGTAAAGTGCTCCCCTCTGTAGGCATCAGCCTGGGGGAATGCAATAGACCCACCCTCTGGACTCCCTGGCATCCCACCCTACAGACCTCATGCCCTGCTGAGAAGTCATCTGCCTGAGCTGGGATGTAAAGGTCGAGCAGACTCAGGGGGTGTCAGTGACTGAGTGTGGCTTCTGGGAAGGGTGGTTAAGTCCAGTTTCCTGTGAACCTGACCAGTAGCTCCCCATTTTGGTAGATATGCTAGCCCAATTCTCTGGGATCCCAGTGGCCCCACCCTCCCAATTCTTGGTAGCTGGGCATTGCCAAGGAGGTCTGGGCAGGATCTGGGAGAGACTGACTTGTGTGGCTCTGAAGTGATAAAAAGCAAGGACCTACAACCAAGACTATGTTCCCCAGCAAGGCTATCATTTAAAAATTGAAGCATATGCCGAAGCCAGTTTGGCTCAGTGGATAGAGCATCGGCCTGTGGACTGAAAGGTCCCAGGTTCGATTCCGGTCAAGGGCATGTACCTGGGTTGCGGGCACATCCCCGGTGGGAGATGTGCAGGAGGCAGCTGATCGATGTTTCTCTCTCATCGATGTTTCTAACTCTCTATCTCTCTCCCTTCCTCTCTGTAAAAAATCAATAAAATATATTAAAAAAAAATTGAAGCATAAATAAAAAGCTTCTGAGACAAGAAAAAGCTAAAAGGGGTTCATATCCACCAAATCAATATTACAAGAAATGTTCAATGATCTTAGAGAAGGTAAAAATGAAAAAAAAAGCAAAAACAACAACAACAAAAACACAGAGGAGTGTAGTTATAAAGATAAAATGGCAATAAATACATACCTATCAATAATCACTTTAAATGTAAAATCAAAAGACCCATATATATGCTGTCTACAAGAGACTCACCTCAGTATGAAAGATACACACAGACTAAAAATACACATTATGATGGTTGGTTCCAGACTGTCTCAGAAAGGGGCTGTCAGCCTTTGAACTAGGAAAGATGGTTAGGAAATTCGACAACCAGGAAGCCAGCTTAGAGAAGGGGAAAATGGGAAAAGTGAAGATGTTTAGTTCATTTGCTGTAGCTGGAATAAAATGATAATGTGATGAAACTTTTCACTATAATCAAAGTTCACAATGCTGAATTATCTTCCAAAATGACTGCAGAGATCTTTCTCACATACACAGACATAAAAGGCAAGTCATGCTGCAATTTCTAAAAGGCTTATTGTAAATTGCATTCCATAGCCAAGGCAGATTGCCTCATCTTTACGGGCTTGATGGTTTCAAAGTTCAAGACTGACATTTCTATGGATAATTTATTTACATATTTCAAAATCTGCAGAGCACCGGAGTAAATAATGCGGAATGGAGAAACTACATTAATGTAGATGGAACCAAATGTTTGTATTAATTGTGGACTGACTAAGCAAACACTAAAGGAAAACTAATAAAATAGAATAGATGGCTCTGGTTAGTAATATTATTGTTACTTTTTTTTATTGCTTTCAGAGAAAGGAAGGAAGAGGGGCAGAGAGATAGAAACATCAATGATGAGAGTGAATTATTGATTGGCCCCCTTCTGCAGAACCCCCTGCTGGGGATGGAGCCCGCAATCCTGACATGTTTTTTACCAGAAATCGAACCCATGACCTCCTGGTTCATGGGTCAATGATGCTGAACCACTGAGCCACACGGACTGGGCTTATTGTTACATCTTTTTAGTTGTGCTTATTCTTAGGAGATAAAATACTTAGAATTAATATTTTGAGATGTCTGAAGCTTATTATTTGCTATTCCTAATTATTTGCAATAATATGCCAAAAATACTTTTAAAACTAGAATTTATACATTAAATCTAGAATTTATATTTAAAATTTTAATATGTAATTTTAAATCAAACATTTATAATTTAAATCTTTAATTTTAAACTCTAGTTGGTGGATATACACATGTGCATTGTTGTAGTCTTTCATATTTCTCTTAGGTTTGGAATTATTTATGCTAATTTTTATCCTTAAAATGAACACTTTCCCCTACAAATATATTTTTGTAAAGTTTCATCTATTTCTCTTCCTCTGTATATAAAAACAATTAATGTTACAATTAAACTTCCACATTTCAGGCTCTTGCTACACCTATTAGTGTAGCATTCTTTTATTTTATTTTTTACTGAAGTTATTGGGGTGACAATTGGTTAATAAAATTATATATGTTTCAGGTGTACAACTATATAATACATCATCTGTATACTATATTGTGTTCACTACCCCATATGCTAATAGTTTTTAAAATTGTTTTTTATGGAAAAATTTGGCATCCATTTAGCTTAGGAATACATAAAAACTGACTGGGGCTAGTCTGTGGTTCAACTCATCCATACTTATTTTTTTCCCTATATTTAACAGTTTCCAATGATTCATGTGTCTCTAAATCTCTTTTAAAATATATTTGTTAATCTCTGATTTGATCAAGAGCTGAAATATTTTTGTTTCTAGAGTCTTTTTGGTTTATTCTATTCCCTGGTGGTTCTTAAAACTGGCTCTTCTTAAAAATTGTCTCCCGGCTGCCATTTGAACTGATCTTTATGTTACTCCAAATTAAGTCATTATTTCTAGTCTATCAATTTTCCAACTTGAATCAGCACCCTTTAAGATTCCCATCTGCTATTATTAGGCCAGTTTTTTTAAAAAATTGTTTGTCCTTTCTATCCTTGCTCCTCAGGTGCCTTGGAAACGCCTATCACCGACTTCCCAGGTACTGACGTTTCCCAGGGAGGTCTGGGCTACTCCGTGCAGAAAACAGGACCAGGCATCTTTCCGCATTTCATAGAGCTTTCAATCTAAGAGTAAAGTTAACTCCCAAGAAAAACATAGCCCTAACTGGTTTGGCTCAGTGGATAGAGCATCGGCATGTGGACTGAAAGGTCCCAGGTTTGATTCCGGTCAAGGGCATTTACCTTGGTTGCGGGCACATCCCCAGTAGGAGGTGTGCAGGAGGCAGCTGATCGATGTTTCTCTCTCATTGATGTTTCTAACTATCCCTCTCCTTCCTCTCTGTAAAAAATCAATAAAATATATTTTTTTTTTAAAAAAAGAAGAAAAACATAAAAAGTCCCTAGGATATGGATATAGCAGACTACAATAAGAGAATAGATAAGTGAGCTGGCCAGCGTGGCTCAGTGGTTGAGCATCAACCTATGAACCAGGAGGAATCAAACCACAGTTTGATTCCAGGTCAGGGCATATGCCCTGGTTTTAGGCTCGATCACCAGTAGGGAGTGTGCAGGAGGCAGCCAATCGATGGTTCTCTCTCATCATTGATGCTTCTATCTCTCCCTCTCCTCTCTGAAATCAACAAAAAGATATTTTTTAAAAAGAATGTATTAATTGAAAAATTGCTGGGTTGAGAACCAAGAGAATTGGAATCAGTCTATCAGTGGCCTGAATGTTCAGTTCACCCTTGGCCAAGCCACTACACATTAATTCCTTCAACTATAAAATAAAGAAATTGATTAAATAGAATCTGTAGTCCATTTCAATAACTTTATTGTTTTATGTTTATAAAAGTAATTTATGCACAACTTGTAGAAAATTTAGAAATTAAGCACATAGAAAAGAAAATATTGCTCAAATAGCATTACTTAGAATTGCCCACTTTTAAATTATTTGTATATATCCTTCTAATCTTGTGTGCATGTGGATATAAACAGTGGTGTTTTGTTTTGTTTTTGTAAACCTCACCTGAGGATAATTTTCCTTGTATGTATGTATGTATGTATGTATGTATTTATTTATAGGAAGTAGAAGGGAAGAGGAGAGACAGAGATAGAGAAACAACTGATGTGAGAGAGACACATCGTTTGGTTGCCTCCTGCATGGGCCCAACCAGGGCTGGGGATCCAGCCTGAAACTGAGATATGTGCCCTTGACCAGTATCAAACCTGGGACCCTTCAGTCCATGGGCCAACACTCTATCCAATGAACCAAATCAGCTAGGGCTAAACAGATTTTTTTTTTTTTTTACAAAATTATAACATGATACTTTGAACTCTGTATTCTACTTTATTGACATGATGATATTATGTGGTCATTTTTCTGTGTTATTGCCACTTGAGAACTTGTCTTTTAATTGCCATATTACATGACATGGATGTGTCATACTGTATACTCATCAGCTTTAATAATCTATTTTTTCAGACTTTATAACATGAAAAGAAATATATTCATTAATACACAAGGTTGGTTGCTGCTTCATGGATTTTG